CATGGAGGGATCTGTTACTTCTACCATCTCTGCCGCCTCAATCATTTGGCAACATTATTCATATTGATTTGGCTGCACTCGGAGCGGCAGGACAAATTTAAAAGAAAATAAATCGCTTAACAAATGCTAGAAAAATTATCGGGGTCAGTTGATGCAAGGGGATATAATTCTACTTAAAAGAGGGATCCTTCTCATTTGCACTCGTGCCGCTCTAGAAGAGGTTCAGTTTCATCAATTATAAGCATCTTTTTCCCCCAAAAATTTGGCTGCAGCAGGAGTCCAAAAGGAAGTTGCAAGAAAAAGATCATAGAAAGATCACCGGAGTTAGTTCAACCAAGTGGAAGCCATGTCATATCCAGATCAACCAACTCCAGTTTGCGTTGTTGATCTATTCACATTAATTTCTCATAATACGAACAATATTCAGCAACCTATTTTAGTCATGTACCCAGAAGTTTTCAACAGCCTACCATTGGTGCATCCTAAATCCAAATAACATATTATTCACGTGTTAGCTTCTACCAAATTGTTAGCTGTATGTGATCCACAGAAAAAATATGCAAAATTCAATGAACCTTTCGAAATCTTTCTTTCTCTTTTACTTTCCAGAAGGGATTGCATTGAACCATTAAGGAAAATATACTTCCCAAGACATTGAGTAGAATTTGGAAAGCTTTTCTTCTTATTTAAGTCCTGCATATCTAAAGGAAAATTTCAGTCTGCTGCAATTTAAGAAATGATAATAGGAAAATCAACGGTCCCAAAAAAAATGTAAAGAAAATCAAGGGTCCATTCAAGAAATGATAATAGGAAAAACTACCAGTGTCCATTCAAGAAAAAGAAAGGCATGACCAAATATAGGGATCTGTATAACTCTCATGTATCAAGAAATGATCAGCTGAATTGTTCGTCCCTGCACTCACAAGTATCCATTGGATTGCGATGCCATAATACATCTTAAACAAAAGAAATCTTATAATACATCATTCACATGTCAGCTTAAACCAATTCTGTTGTCATCTATGCACGACTAAGAAAACACATACCTAGTTACACGATCATTTCACAGGCTTCATTGTTCTTTGGCTATCTAGTTTTATTCTCTCGAGTGAACTCAAGAAGCAAAGAGCACCAACATGGCTAATCACTGTATCAAATAGTATCTAAACCTAACCCACGTATTTGAAACAAAACACAGACAACCAAAATGAAATTAAAGATTTATGAGGACGACAAACTCACAATATGACGCGGAATGGTTTTTAGAAAGTTTCCTTCTTATTTGAACGCCCACAGTTAAACGAAAGCTTTAGTTTTCTCCAATTTTCTTCCACTATGATCTGGCAGCAACATGAGTCACAAAAAAATGCACAGAATGAATGTAGATAAAATGGTAGAAAAACTAAGTCTTGAATCATGCGAAAGGAAG